TCAGTGTTTTCAATGCGTTTTTTTTATCTCTCTCTCACGTTCAGGATTTTGTATGATGGATTTTTAGAATTAACCACCATGAGCTAACGTTGTTTTCCGTGTCATTATTTCCACGAACACGAGTTGTAATATTACAGTTTACTTCATTTACACAACAACTTTATGTATTAAATTGCTTCATTTATATGAAATGGTGCATAATACAAAACACACCCCGAGTTTAAGCCACTAACATTTACCGCTGCCACGAACAGATACGGGCTAGTTTTCATTGTTTTGCTTAGTTATATGCTATAATAAATAGCCTTCGTGCCAACAGGACGAAGCTACCGAAGTATTACTAATGTTAAATAGCTTTATGTTGGCGTATAACTAACTTGCAAGGCATAGATAGGACCTGTAACTTGCAGTAAGTTATTATGAGGAGTAATCTTATAATTATTCAGATACTATACTCTGTTTTTGAAATATAACTGTGGGCTAGACTTGTCATTAATCTACATGACTGCAAGAATATGCTTTGTGTATTTAGCAGGCACATTCGACAGAACCAATTATAATCGAAGTAATTAATATGACGATGAACTCTTCTGTTATAATTAATAATGCCACATATTTAGGGTCGTGACCAATAGTAATGGGTTCTGGATTGGACGATTGGATTTATTGACAGTTCTTTTATAAGCACTCCTTGTTATGTTGGCAACTCTCAAATACTGAAATATAATGTTAGAGTTGGCAACATCATAGTGCACAATTTAAGAATTAGGTTATTTCTTGTTACCTAAGTGATGTTTACTGTTATGTGTAACTAAAGTTACGTGTGTAACAACAGTATCTTTATATTGTTATGTGTTACTATGGTTATAAGCCTGTATGTATATATAAGGCGTACTTCTGTATCAAGTCTCAGGTGTCTTAATAAAGCAGGAGTAGAGTGAACACTGATTCTCACTTATCATTCGATCCACGTGGAAGTAACAAAAATAACACTCCTAACCACAAACAGTTCTTTTTTACTAGAAAGGAGCAACCTTTCAACATCGTCGAGAATACGTAACCGTTGCGTAGATATTCCTGTCACTCCATTTGAAGCATCTGTCTCCTTAATCTTGTCCTTGTTCCTGAGGATAGTGCAAATCTTTGATGTAGACCGACTGTATGTGCGTGCTAGATCAGCCACGCTCACACCTCGTTCTCGCTTTTCAATGATTTTACGTTTCATTCTACGGTTATTTTTATTCTCTTATGGCTGTCTATTTGCGGCTTTTTCTTCGGGGACTTTTTGCAAGGGTTATTAAACTTTGCACAAAGAAATCACAAAAAATATGTCTGAACACAAGTTTGGAAAAATGTGTGACCACAAGCGACACTAAGATGCTAGCGGAACGAGTACTAAACACAGACTGATGTAGCAAGCACACAATCCGGGACTTCCCCTCTCGTCACTCGTTATGCGAAACGTCGCTCGTTAAGCGAGTCACCCCTTTACAAATTGTTTTGCTCGTTATGCGAATCACTCGTAATGAGAGGTGCTCGTTAAGCGAGGTTCCACTGATACATTGCCGGTCACGATAGCCGAGCGGTCTAAGGCATGTACTGTCTTCGCTCGCTCGGAAACCGGGATCGTGGGTTCGAATCTGTTTCCTGTGAGGTACGAACTGAATTCTTATATATTATTCTTATACACTGCCGGTCACGGTAGCCGAGCGGTCTAAGGCATGTACTGTCTTCGCTCGCTTGGAAGCCGGGATCGTGGGTTCGAGGGTTCGAATCTGTTTCCTGTGAGGTACAGATTGAATTCTTATATATTATTCTTATACACTGCCGGTCACGGTAGCAGAGCGGGCTAAGGCATGCACTGTCTTCGCTCGCTTGGAAGTCGAGATCGTGGGTTTGAATCCCACACAAGGCATGGATATTTGATGTGTGTATGCGTTTATTCTGTGTCTGTGTTGTCCTGTGTTTAGGTAGCGGCCTTAAGACGAGCTGATCACTCGTCTAAGGAGTCCTATCGTCTGTAAAAATGATGAAATTAAAAACAAACAACCTCGAAAAGAGGCATAAGAGGAACGGATTAAGTAAGCAAGCATAAAACATTGAGATAGAAAGGTAGAGATATGCCTTTGCACCCATATACCAACAGACATTCTGAACTTCAGCTCTAGATGGATTTAAACGGTCAGTTTCACACTTTGGGTTCTTCTTATACCTTACTGGGGTGCTCGAAAGTTTTATGTACATAAAGGGAACTTTACAGTAAACAATTTTTAGCCACTGTTCCGCATATAGATGTATAATATTCGTTGTTCCGTACGGTATATATTTTTCGCATGATAAATTTTAAGAATAATATTCTAGAGATTTTCTAAGAAGAATGTTGTTATAAAAGGATTTCGAAACTCCGCTTGTAGGTCCTACGTTGATGGGTCCATTATGTTGATGGTGATAACAGGGAATGAAAGTGCACTACGATGTAGAGGTCTCTAGAGGCAATGGTTCCACTTACGACTTTTACACCGATACGTCAATCGTAAACCGTCTTTTTATATTGTGTACTGCCCTTCACAAACTTGCATCAGTACTTACAGAATGGACAAGATACAGTTAAATAGGAGATTAGTTGCTCGTTTGTGCCTTACTAAATAAGTTACAATTCATGCAACCTGCTCGAAATTTCTAAGTTATGGTAAGCCTAAATTGCATAAGTTGTTACTATAGGATTCTGACGATTGTGTATAACACAGAGATATTGGGTTTTTGGACGTTATCCATCGTCCTGGTTTTAAGGTAGCTAAGAAAAACAAGACGTTTCGGAAACTGGATCTGTTTCCGTCCTCAGGTGAGGGAAAAACGCGTGTTCTGTTGGGTCTCTTAGAAAGAGCTAGCCTCAGTCCAGCGAGGAGCTGTTTCAAAGAAATAGCGGCTCCGGTCTAGAAAACCGAGATTAACGGCCGTGGGGGAACCGTTGCGCTGACCACGTGACACCCTCTATCCGCAAAAGTTGGCACTAACTTCGCCGATAAGAGGCGGTCGACCTGTCGGTATAGTTCGCTTGCGGACTACACGCCACGGAGTTTGCTTTTATTTGAACATAATTTTTTTAATATTATCGTAATTAACATAATCAACACCATAGTCATAATAATTACCACCATTATGAATATAGTTTGTCGTAATGATCATGCCATTTCTCTTTGGCTGACATGTAGCCTCTGCAGTTGACGTCAGACAGATTTCCCGTGTTTGGTATGACTTCAGACAGCAAGAAACCTCTCCTCACCGACTGTGATATCTGGACAGAGGACGATTACTAATAAAACGGCCGTCGAGAGGAGGCAGGAGTTGCTGGTTGCTATAGTGATGGACCGTATCCAGGAAACAAACTGCAAATGGCTGCTCAGGGACGTTCACTGAATCGTTAGAGGGCAACTTCACTATTATTTTACGACCGGCGCCGAGTTTCGACTGAACTGGGAAAAGTTTCCTGTTTTCTCTGAGAACGATATTAATTCCATATCTGCGAGTGACGTAGGGAATGATGAACTTTTTTTTTAAATCCCTTAGTGAAGGTGGAGTCCAGCTGGATCCACTCGGCACGGCGGCCACTGATTGGCCTATTGTACCTGACGCGGGTGATTATGATGATGGAGAATTTGGTGGAATGGAGATTGGCAGGGGAGGCCGAAGTACTCGGAGAAACCCCGCCCCAGCGCCACTTCGTCCACCACAAATCCCACTTGACCAGACCCGGAATCGAACCCGGGTCGCCGCGGTGGGAAGCCAGCGACTAACCGCTTGAGCTATGCCGCGGCCCAATCATGAACTTTGTAACAAGCGGTATAGACAGCTATTACTCCCCAGTGAAGCGCAGCCAAGCTTAGAGCCAGCATCAGTTGACCAGTCAGCGGAAATTATATTCGCCAGAAGTTTCTCCCAAAAAGAAAAACCACGTCTAGGCACTGCGTGACGTACTGTTGTACTTCCCTCGTATAAGCCTGCTTATTATCTTATAACTTACACAGACTATAAAATAATGAAGAATATGGTTTTCTAGCACAGTGTAGTTCAGTGAGGCTTGACGCCCACTTCTGCAGGTTTCTTGTTTGACTTACTTATCGACCTGTAGATGGAAGCGATATGGACCTTCGAAACATTAGGCTATCTCCTAATTACACGGCATTGAAACCTAGAGATGATACTGATCATAGGCTCCGCCATGAGAACCTCAGACCCAACTTCCCCCCTTGGCACTACAGCCCCAGTGGGCCTAGGCCTACCTCCATGAACTTCTCCGTTCACTTCGGTTTTTCTAGATCGTACACATTCGGCAGGACTCCTTGGGCGGGTGATCAGCTCGTCGCAAGGCCAGACCCAACTTAGTGTGGCGTATTTGGTCAAAGTCCTGCGTGCCGTAGGAGGCGACGAAAAGTGAAGTCTCAAATCTCGGACCCGAGAAAGACTGCGCTCGCAAGGACCAGCAACATATACAAAAGACAGACCCGTCTTCTCGTCAGAGAGGGCGCCCTACAAAAACAAGACCGTAACTGTTAAACAGTAATAAATATCTGGTTATCAACTGTTATTGTAAAGAAGTGCCAATAAATTCAGGCGTCGGATACAGAACCCATCACTATTCGTCACGTGACAGTATTTACGAAATTATATCACTCAGTTCCCCTTTGTACATAATAATTGTTAACTAACTATGTTCTGGGTATCAAACAGTGTAGTTTCATAGATGTTTATCAATGTTTACTAAAGAACCTTCTGTCTCCATTGTCAAGGTGGAAGCGGAATGGTAGCAGCAGATTCCTCAAAATCTGCACGGTGTCACAACCTATAAGATCGCAGTCGTGATTTGTTCACTGCCCTCTCATTCCATCTCTTCCTAGATCTTCCAAATAGTATCTTTCCTGAAAACAAATATTGTATGAGATATATTGTTGCAGGGTTTGAATTTTTTTTTGTGTGTGTAATCCTGATTTCTTTACTTTCAGACTGGTGATACCGTGCATGATCGATTGATTGAATTTTCTGTGAGTTCGTGTCTTCATTGGAAGGTGAATCGGTGAGTTTACGACATATATTACTTAAATTTTAGAAGACTGCCAAATGGAAGCATTGCTCAACATTTCAAACGAGGCACATATACAAACAACTGCCTACTGTATCACTGAAGAGAGTTACAACAAGAAATACCACAGATTTTATTTTATGCTCAGAAGAGAAATATACTGCATTATTTTTAAGTCTTTTAGATATTATTTTAAATGTGCTTATAAACAGTGTCTTCTAATTACACGTGTATCTGAAAGTGATACTATAGGACCTATATAAGAAAAGCGATTTTATTCACTGAATATTTATTAAAAGTTTGCTATACTTGATAGTTTTGTTGTTCTTTAAGGTTAAAAATAGGGCGAATTGTGATTTTTTTGGCCTTGCGTCCGTCAGTTTCAGATGTACTCCTCCTCCTCATTCTTCTTCGTCTCCTTCTCCTCCTCATTCTTCTTCGTCTCCTCCTCCTCTTTCTCTTTCTTCCTCCTCTTTCTCCTCCTTATTCTTCTTCCTCTCCTCCTCATTCTTCTTCGTCTCCTCCTTCTCCTCCTTATTCTTCTTCTTCTCCTCCTTTTTCTCTTCCTCCTCCTCCTCCTCCTCCTTCTTCGTCTCCTCCTCATTCTTCTTCGTCTCCTCCTCCTCTTCTCCTCCTCATTCCACATCCTTATTCTTCTTCTTCTCCTCCTTCTCCTCCTCCTCCTCCTCCTCCTCCTTCTGTTTTTCCCCACTTCGAGCATGGACATCCGTGAATCGCTTCGTTTCACTTCCGTTTCTTAATCTAAGACAGTCGATAGGACTCCTTGGACGGAGGATCAGCCCGTCACAAGGTTGCAACCTAAGGGCGGCCGCACACCAGTTGCGTCAAGACAAGCATCAAGACATGAGAGAAAAGACGCAGTCCTGCTTCATTCGTGATTCAGACTCGAGTCCCCACACCGAAGTAGCACGTGTCTGCGTCTCATCACATCTTCTCTAGTTTATGACATGACGTCATGCCGATAACCAACACTGGTGCTGTTCCTTGAGTACTGATGTCTGAGTCTTGACGCACAGAAAAGGGACATGGAGGTGTGTGCAGCATGAAGCTGACGTCAGCATCATGACTCAGACCGGTGTGCGGCGCTTTTCGTAATCTCATTCGTTTCAACTGTGCTCCTTTCTCTGCGTCATGTCGCAGACATTGTGTTTTGACTGTTACATGTCTTGACGCATGCCGGTATGCGGCCTACATAACAGAAACACAGAATAAATGCAGACGGACATCAATTTCTCGAGTGGGATTCGAACCCACGACCCCAGTGTTCGAGCGGGCGAAGACAATTGATGCCTGCAATTGCGCGGACACTGCAATCGGCTCAGACTTACTACGAGCGCTTCTAAGTAATTTGCAATGACATTCTCTGTTCTTACCAAGGTTAAAGTCGAGTAACGTCTGTAATAAGCTCAAGCGGTTAGTCGCTGGGTTCCACCGCGGCGGCCCGGGTTCGGTCCCGGGTCTGGTCAAATGGGATTTGTGGTGGACAAAGTGGCGCTGGGGTAGGTTTTCTCTGAGCACTTCAGTTTCCCCTGCCAATCTTCATTCCACCAATTGCTCCACAATCGCCCTCACCTATCATCTGGGACTGGTACAATAGGCCAGAAGTGGCCGCAGTACAAGGGACTTAGTCCCACCCCGCTAGCAATAAAAAAGTCTGTAATATTTATATAGGAAGTGCGACGTAGCAGAACTCCCATAAATGTTATACCTTTACATAGATCCAGCCGCAGAGACCGGCTACAGCTAATGTGAAGTGTTCTCCTGCTCTTATGTTAGCAGTAGCCTGTCAGTAAGCTACAAGAAAGAACTTTCCATCCCACCCTGTAAATACTGAATCCAATAACCAATATATGTGACAGAGTATTTTATCGGTTTACGAACTCGGCTTCTCGACTTTATTTTTCTTGTGACCTTTATTTCCACACCGGACACGGGGCTGCTCCGATACATCGCGTTTCTGGTAGTCAGTATGAAAGTGACCGACAGTGTCCCCATCTTCAGAGCCGAAGAGTAAGCAGAGCTCTACTTTCCGCCTGCTTCTTGTTAGTTACTTGCTTCACTTTTTCGCTTAGTGGGGGGTGGAGTCCAACTGGGTCCACTGATTGGCCTATTGTACCTGCCCCCTCGTGATTATGATGATAGAGAATTTGGTGGAATGAAGATTGGCAGGGGAAACGGAAGTACTCGGAGAAAACCCACCCCAGCTCTTCTTTGTCCTCCACAAATCCCACTTGACCAGAACCTGCATCGAACCCGGGCCGCCGCGGTGGGAATCCAGCGACTAACCGCTTGAGCTATGGTGCGGTCCTACTTGCTTCACTTACTCATCAACCCTTAGGATGGACGCAGTATTGTCCTCCGAAACACCTGTGGGCTATTACCGGAATACACGTCAATTCATCCATTCNAGTTACACCGCAAATGCTGGAGAACACTTGGAAGGAAATTGAATACAGCTTGGACACCCTACACCTTATGAAAGGCGTGTATGTTGACATTCTTTAGGATNTTTTCAGACCTGCGTATTTCAGTCTTCAAAGAATCATCTACAATGTCTTCATGTGATAGCACCTTCTTGTGTTTTCTTTGTCATTATTAATCGACTAATAACCGTGTTATACACTTTAACATACTTGTACAATGTGATTCTGAATTATTGTCCGGGTTTCCGCGGCCTATAATTTTCAAACCAGAGACAATAAAATAGAACCGCTGAAGGAATACGAAAATGTAACTCAGAAAGTTTTGTGTAGCAACGCTGNGTGGCATCAATCACATTTTCAATTTCTTAACTCTTACCGGTGTACATAATCTTGAAGGAGTCCCGAAGTTTATTCGCCCAAGCCGGAAAATTCCGCCGTATGTAGCGATATTTCGTACTGTAGGCCTTAATATAATACCGAATTAATAAGTTAATTTTATGTTCCGTCTTCTAGCAGTTTCACTCAACTTCAGTACAGGTGTTTAGGTCTCCTTTATAGAAACTTACTGGCTCAGAATGTAAATGAACGAACGGAATCGTTCTAAAAACAACTTCGGCTTTATCTTGAATTGAATTTCGCTACGGGAAACGAATTACGTGGAACAATCGCTAGAAGAATCCTGAATGAAGGCCGCGCGAGCTAAGATAACATCTTCAGTCTCAGTTTGCAGGGCAGAATATTGTTTTTTGGTAATTTTGCACCGTTGCTAACGACGTCATACAAATGCAAAATATTCCCTGGAAACCTGCGTGCGGCTACAAATAATATTTCTCTATTCAATTTATATACTCGTAGAGTGTTGACATTTTGAATTTAATCATATCTGCACCGCTAAGATATGTCAATATCACAGGAACAGATATATCCAAATTGAGCAGCATCTTTTTCTAACCTTCACAGTTAAGAAGGGCCGGTTAAATAAGGTAAAAGAGAAGAGCAAATAGGGTGTAAAGTCGAGTAGATCCAACCCACTAAGAATTGAAATAATATTGTCACATATGTGGGGTGGTTGCGTGACTTATAACACAGGTTCTGCATTGAAAGATTGGATTTATTGACATCTTACGCACAGCACTCTGAACTGAAGGCAATTACAGCTCTATCGCTCATCTACACACTTGAGAGTTCACCGTTACACACACATTAGGGTTCTAAGTCTTCATTAGTCGTATCCTCGCAACGGATTTATAACAGTCTCATTGTAACTTCAGGTCACACATAAAGTCTTCTTTGCGCGGTCTAATTCATTTCTTCCCATTTCTTGACAGTCGCCTTCGATTGCCATCTCCAGAACTCCACTCAGTTCTCTACGTTCTTCGTCGCATTTTAACCCCTCGGCAAGGACAACGCGGAAAACACGGTCTCTCTATTGTCGAGAACGCTTGTTTACTGATCCTTTGCCTAGCAGTGGACATCCTATTGTTGCGCGCGTACACTTCCGCGGGAATGGGTTACCCGAGTCGTTGAGTAACAACGAGTCTGTACGTCACAATATTTTCTCGCTTGTTACGAGAGTATATTGCATTCGTTATGTCTTCAGAACTCTGTGTATCAGTGTTTTATGCTTACTTATGGAGCTGAGCCCTTCTTGAGGAGCGGCCAATTCTGCAACTACTCAAGATTCTCCCAGCATTTTATGGAACACGAAGGTTCATTGCCTTGTTCACAAGAGCCCTCCACTGGTCCTTATACTGAGCCAGATCAGTCCAATCCATCCCATCTTATCTCTCTAAGATCCATTTCAATATTATCCACTCACCTATTCCTTGGTCTTCCCAGTTGTCTCTTTCCTTCTGGCTTTCCCATCAATATCCTATATGCAGTCATCTTCTCCCCCATTCGTGCTACGTCCTCTACTTACCTCATCCCCCTTGACTTGATCATTCTAATTATACTTGGAGAAGAGTACAAGTTATGAAGCTCCTCATTATACAGTTTTCTCCAACCTCATGTCAAATCATCCCTCTTCGGTCCAAATATTCTCCTCAACACCCTATTCTCAAACACCCTCAGTCTATGTTCCTCCCTTTATGTCAGAGACCAAGTTAGTGTTTTATATCAGTTGTTATTTAACGAACCCGTGAGTGTCGAGGCTATGTACGAGTAGACCAATGACCGAATAAGAATTTGGTGCGGAAGATAGCGGACGTTGTCGAGTGTTAAGTACTCTTAGTGCGTTTACACAAATTGACTGAGGGAAACTACGATAATTTACAGAAAGGATAGCCGGTGTCCCGACCGAGATTCGAAAGAAGAACTTTTCCTCGAAAAAGTAGTCTGGAGCATTACTTTTAGACCACCCGGTTCGGTGCATGACATTATTAAAATCCCCTTGCATGTCGCATGAATTAGTTGAATTTCCGGATGTGTAAATGTTATTACATCGTGTACACGGGCGCTAGTATTGTGTCACTCGAAGTCCTTTTTATTCCACATTTTGAAAATGGTATTTCGCAAAGCGTCATGAGCTTCTGTCGTAACAGGTAGGCA